CCGTGGGGCTCTGCCCCCACCATAGGGCCGGCCATGAGTAGGGCAGCTGCCTCCAGCCCTCCTGCAGGGTCCCTGGGGACAGCAGTGCCGGGGCCCTGGAGGCACTACCAGCCCTAGATGCCCAACCAGCCTCACCTGGGCCCCCACCTGTGGGGCCGGGGCTCTATTTAAACTCAGCCCTGACCCCACTATCCTGTGCTGGGGGAATGCTGGTCTCCAGCTGTAGGCCTGCTCTGCACAACCACAGACCCACTAATCCGGGTCCCAGTTACTGGCTTCCCAGTTTGACCTCAGACCCACCCACTCACCGTGGACTTGCCAGGTGATCTGGACTCTTAGTAAGCCTTGCCACCCCTCCTCAGCCTGCCCTGCCCACAGGGTGATGGGTCTGTGGCCGTGCTCAGCTCCCTGGCCCTGAGGGAGCAGCTGGCCCTTGTGAAGCCCAGCTCAGGTCTCCCTGGCTCTCCAGGTTCACTCTGCCTTTCTCTTGCCACCACCAGCTCGGCAGCACCGTGCCGGCCCACGGCTCTCGGGGACCCTCTGCGCTCTGGGAGCAGGATCCTGCCCTGGGCCCCTTGGAGCCCCCGCACACACAAAACAAGAGGATGCACCGAAAGTGTGAGTAAGACTCAAAATCGTGGGGTGTTTAATGAGGTCCCAAGCTGTACAGAGAGCGAGGGGAAGCGTGCTGCCCCGGGCCCTGCTCTGCTGTTGCATCTACCAAAATACAAAGCCTGGCCAGCAGATAATCTAACTGAAGAGGAAGCGGCTGAGGCCAAAGGCCCCACACCCAGGGCTGCCGGCGGGGAGCCAGCCCGTCCTCGGCAGCGGTGGCACCGAGCAGAGGCTGCGCCGGGGGAGGTGTGACCTTGCAGAGGGAACTGATACAATCTGCTCCCCCGTGGGAGTGCTTGGGGGAAGCGTCAGCCCAGCATGTCCCCAGCACCGTGCTGCACCACCCATGCTGTTGAGACCCAGCTCTGGGGAAGGAGAGAGGGGTCTGTAGTGGTTTTATTGCCTTTCCTGCTGGATGTTGAGCACCCTTTGCCCTTTTCCAAGAGAAGGAGCCTGCAGAGCGTGGCATGGTCGAGCGGCGCAAGGGAGGAACACGGTGCATGTGTCTGCACTGCCTCGCACCAGGGCACTGGCTGTCAAACCCGTTCAGCTGGTGCCAGCCCGCAGCCAGTGCCATGAGCTCCCGTGCCCCGGCAAACCCAGGCACAGGTGGGGATGAGCTCCCTGCCAGCCCCAGGCGAGTGGCTGCCACCTGGGTTACCAATGCAGCAGAGGCTGGAAATGGCTCCGACTCCTCCAGGTGCATCTGATCCACCTCGAGGAGCTGGGGTGGGGGGATCTCCTTCGCGCAGCTGCTGGGGGTAGTGGCAGGTAGCGGGGCTAAGAGCTCAATGGTGGGCGAGAGGGCAGCAGGGTCTCCTCAGGCACCCGCCCCAGGGGAGGAGGAGCAGGGGGGACCAGGCGCTCAGGGGTCCCCGCTGTACTTGATGAGGTGGCCGCTGAAGGTGATGTAAGTGTCGTACTCGTCGCTGAAGACAGCGTTCTCGCGCTCGCCCTTGTAGAGCCGCACCCAGACCTCGTCCTGGTCCCGCAGCTCCAGCATGACGCTTTGGCTCTGCATGATGCTGCGGTCGCTCACCTGGGCGTAGAGGATCACCACCTCCGCCCCATTGCGCATGATGTGCAGGTACGTCTCCTTCTGGTTCCAGGTGTGCACGTTGAGGCTGAAGTAGTAGATCCCGGGGACGTAGCAGTAAAACTTGCCCGTGAACATGTTGAAGTGGTCGTAGAGGTTGACAAACTCTGTGTCGAAGATGAGGGTCTGGTAGTAGTCATTGCTGTGCAGGGGTTTCTTGCGGCCCACAGAGAAGGCAGCGTAGTGACTCTTGCAGCGCTCCCCCGGGGCACCCACGCTGCCCTTCTGTCCCTTGGGGCCCGCATGGCCCCTGCTGCCGGCCACCCCTGTCTTGCCGAACTTGCCCTGCACGCCTCGCTCGCCGCGGTCTCCCTTCTCACCTGGGCAAAGCAGGAGCGACGGTTGTGCTGTCAGAGGCAGGTGCCATCTCTAAACCCCATGCCCTGGAAGCCCCTTTGCCTGACAGGAAGGGATGGAGACAGCAGGGCCACCCCCCCAGCCCCTGCCCGCTCCCTGGGTGCTGGTGCTGCCTCCAAAGCTGCCCCCGCAGCATCTCCTGCCCCCTGCCCCTCTGCCTGTGCAGCACCCTGGACCACAGGCTCCAGCTTCTGGCTCCTGGTTTGTGCAAGACTGGGAGCCCAGCTCTGCGCTGGCCCTGGGGCGAAGCTGGCAGACCAGGTGGGCTGATGGTGCCCAGTGGCATGGGGTGCCCGGGCTGCTGGTTTGGCCGCAGGCAGTGCCACAGCGCAGGGTCGCGCCAGCCCTCACCTTTCAGGATGGTCATGTTGATCTGGGGCAGGGGCTGGTACCGGGGGTAGAAGCGCTGGTCGGGCGGCTCACAGCAGCGGAC